AAAAACTATTCTAGAAAGTTTAGAAACTAAAACCCCTGACCCTATTCCTACTCCTGATTTGCCTGATCACCCAGAAAATCCTGATCCTACTCCTCCTTATCAACCTCAACCTGATGTTCGTCCTACTGATGAATGAGGGGGTATTTTATGGGATATTAGGAAGTTTGTAGAGGGTGCGACTAATGTTCAAGAAATAAAAGATTGAGTAACAGAACAAAATTTTCCCGACCCTATAGAAAAAGCAAAGATAAATTTAGAAGGGGCTTCTGCCGAAAAATTAAAACTCATTCCGCAAAATGGTTCAGTACCTGGTATAGAAGAGGCTGATGAAAAGACAAAAAAATATAGCAAATATGTTCAATTATCGGCTGTCGGAGACGGAAACTGTTTTTTAAACTCTTTTTCGGTTCTTCTAACTGGAGAAGCCAACGACACATCTTTAGCCATGCCTTTAAAAGTTAAACTTTGCTTAGATTACATATTTAATAAAGGATTTTTACAGAGTGAATTTGATACTCGTTCTCTGAAGACCGTAAAAAATGATTTAATCGGTTCAAACGGATTTGCCAAACCAGGTGCTTGATTAGACATTGGTGACATTTATTATATGGCACCTATTTTGCAAAGACCACTTACAGTAATTGGAAAATGACCTAAAAGTTCAGAATATGGAGAATTATCAGGTCGTTTAGGAACTTGAGATATTCCTGAAAATTTGACCCTTTCCAACCCTCCTACTTTTAAATATAAAGAACGCTGAGTTATTTACAATAGTGGCGGCCATTTTCAACCCTTAATTCTTCCCAGTTAAATAATATTAAAATAATATATTATGAAAGCACAAGAATACATAAATCAGAAGTATCAAACAAAAGAACAGAAAAAAGACATTAGAGAGTTGGATTTAAGTAATCTTAATTTGGAAGGCGATTTAGATTTTGCCGATTTTAATAATTTAAAAGAAATAAACATCAGCGGTAATCCACAATTAGGAAAAATAACAGCCGATGGCGATATTTGGTGATGAGTAAAATTTACTGTTGAAGTAAACGCTCAGGAATGATTAAACAAAAAATATCCTTACCGACAGCAGGTAAAAGAAATTGAATTAGAAAAAGGAATAAAATTTAATGAAAAACTGACTATTGATGATTTTCCGCAATTAGAAGAAATAAGAATGGATAATCTGACTACTCAATATTTAAGCGAATTTCAGGTAAGTCACTGCCCTAATTTGAAAAAAATTAATTGTTCTGATATCTGTTTTTCAAAACTAAAGTTAAGTAATTTAAGGAAGTTAAATGAAATAAAATCTAATGATAATTTTAAACTTGTGAAATTAGAAATTGAAACTTGTCCGAGTTTAAAAGAAATTAGATTTCCTAATTCACAACTTTCTAGTCTAAATCTAAACGGTGCTCCGAATTTAGAAATTGTCGACCTTTACTATGGCAAACTTGTTTCGCTAAATGTTGATAATTGCCCTAATTTGAAAAAAATTAATTGCTGAAATAATTTTCTTACTAGTCTAAATTTAACTAATAATTTACAGTTAGAATGATTAGACATTAGAGGTAATGATTTCTCTAAACGAGATTTAAAATTTTTAAGTCATTTAATTAATTTGAAGTACTTAAAGTTAGGAAATTGGGATGATAGACTAAATGAAATGGGTATTAATAATCGTTTTTATGGTTCCTTGGAACCTCTAAAAAATTTAACTAAATTGGAACATCTGAGTGTTGCAAATACAGATATCGATAGTGGCTTAGATTATTTGCCAAACAGCATTAAAAGTTTTTGTGGTCTCGGGGAGGAAATAGAAGGAGAAAATTTTTTGGAAAAACTTCGAACTTTTAAAAATAGAATAGAAAATCAACTGAAAACTAGGTTAGAAGAAAGTGAAAAAGAACGAAAAGATAATTTAAAACTGTTTTTGGAGATTCAAAATAAGAAAAAGGGATTAAAGCAGTTGAAAGCGACTGCAAAAGAGAAATTGGAAGTCAATCAAAAATTATTTATCAACAACCTTCTAGGTTTCCAAGAAAAAATTATTAGACTAGAGGAAGACAGCACACAATCAATCGTTGCTGAAGAAGTAAAAAAATTAAATGAGGTCAAGGAAAAACTAAAAGAGAAGATTACGCAGGAAGAAATAAGCAATCTTTGCCGAAAGAAAATAGAATTAACTAAATTGGAAATTAATTTAGAGCAATTACAAGAACAAGAATTCGAAGCCAGGCAAGAAATTTCGCAAAATCAGTAAATACTTACTTCTATTAATTGACAAAATTATCTTTGTATCGTTGTTTTAAAAACTTAGTCACAATATAGGAAAGAAAGCAAATTAAATGAAAAAAAAAGAACTAGAAAATTTAGCCAAAAAAGTCCAATTAGAAATAAAGGAAGCAGATTTGACTCACTATTTAAAGACTTTCAACCGTTTAGAAAAAATGTTAACAAAGTTTAAAAATGTTAAGGTAGGGTCCGAAAAAAATTCTATAAAGAGAATGAATATCGGCTATTTGACTTTAAAAGATTTAGAAGAATTAACTAAAAATTATTCTAGTCCAAGAATCAGCAAAAAAGTCCTGGAAAACAACGCAATAGTTACTCCTGATGGTTTTATTCTATTTAAGCAGAAAAACCAACAATAAACTGGAGTTAATCCTAAATTTCTTTTAATAGTAATTAAATTAAAAAAGAGAAAATTCCATTTATAACATAAGAAATTTAGAAAAAGCGGTAAAACAAATTAAAAGTGAATAAACTCGAATGTATAAAAAGAGCAGGGCAGGCTGTAAGTAATATTTTAAAAAGACTAAAAAAAGAAATAAAGCCTGGTGTTTCAGGAAACGATTTAGATAAATTAGCACGACAATTGATGGAAAAAGAAGAGGTAAAATCATCAACTCTAGGTTACCGGATAGGCGACCGTGTCTTTCCTAGTGCTATCTGTGTTTCTTTGAATGAAGAACTAACTCATGGTATTCCTGACAAACGATTTTTCAAAGAAGGAGATTTAGTTTCCATTGATGTAGCATGCAGTTATCGAGGTTATCACGCCGATGCAGCCCTGACCACTATTGTTGGCATAGAAAACGATGAAGCAAAAAACAATTTACTGAAGGTAACCAAAGACAGTCTACACTATGTTATTCAACAAATTAAACCTAACATCACTACTAACCAAGATATTGGCAGGATGTTAACTAAGTATATTCGGTCCCGAGGATATTTTCCAATTCAAAGTTATGGAGGACACGGAATTGGGGAAGAACTTCACCAAGAGCCTTTTATTCCCAACACCCCGCACATCAACCCAGAAAGAATCAAAGTTATAAAAGATGGTATGTTTATTTGTATTGAACCACTCGTACAAATAGGTGATGAAAAAGTAACAGAAGCAGCAAATAGTTGAACTGTATTTTCCGAAAATGGACATCTAAATGCCCATTTTGAACACACCATATATATTAGCAAAGAAGGAAATAAAATAATAACTAATTATGATGAGTAAACAAGATTTTTTTCCAACTCGCGGCAAGGTAATTGAATTGCAGAGAAACAAAACTTTTCTGGTTGAGTGCGACAATGGCAAAGTAATTATTGCTACTATTGCTGCTCGCTTTAGGACTCCTAGTGGAAGAAGAAGAGGTAAAATAACCCAAGGCGATAAAGTAATAGTAGAGATACCTTTGCGCGACCCAGAAAAAGGAGAAATTGTTTCTTTTGCCGAGACAATAAAAAATTAAAAATTTGGTTCTGTATTTTCTCTATTTTTCTCTGTGTTGAAAATTGCTCCTCCTCCTAAACAAATATCATCGCAATAAAAAACGGCATATTGGCCCGGAGTAATCGCCCTTTGTTTTTGGGAAAACTTTATTAATAATTTATTCAATGAATTATTACGAAACTTGATAGTTCTAAAATCAGAATCACCTTCTTTAAATTCTTCATCTAAAAAAAAGAACTTTATCGGAATGTCGAGTTGTCGGTAACGAAATTTAGCAGTTACATTTTGGCTATCCAAAAAAGCAGGCAATTCTTTTCTGTCAATTAACCAATTAATATCTTTAACTACACATCATTCACTATACAATCAATTACTGTCTCAACCACCGGCCACGTAAATTATATTTCTTTCTAAACTTTTCCCTACCACGTAATAGGGATTTTTTTGTCCTGACAGATTTAAATTTCGCCTTTGTCCAATAGTAAAATAATAAATTCCAGAGTGCTGTCCGAGAACTTTTCTGCTGTCAATATCAATTATTTCACCTTCCTTTTTAGGAAAATAATTTGCCAAAAAGTTAGCAAATTTCTGCTCGCCAATAAAGCAAATACCAGTAGAGTCTTTTTTTTTAGCGTTAACCAAACCTATTCCTTCCGCAATTTGACGAACCTCTTTTTTAGTTAAATCAGCAAGAGGAAAAATTAATTTGCCTAATAAGGAAGAGTTAATTTGACAAAGGAAATAGGTTTGGTCTTTGACTCTATCTCTTGGTTTAGTTAAAAAATATTCGGAGTGAAAACAGTTTAAAGAAGTAATGCATTCGCATTTTTTTTTGATAATTTTAGCATAATGACCAGTAGCAATAAAATCAGGTTTAAAGTGTTTTTCTGCATATTCAACAAAATAACGAAATTTGATAATGCTATTACATAAAATGTCTGGATTAGGAGTGAGACCTTTTTCTAAATCTTTTAAAAAATTAGTAAATATTTTTTCTCAATATTCTTGAATAAACTCTACTTTGTAGATGGGAATATCTAAGTGCTTGGCAACTTCTCGGGCATCATTTCAGTCTTGGGTCTGCGTGCAAATATTTACTGATTGCCTACCTAAATAATTGTCCCAATTTTGCATAAAAATAGCAATCACCTCACAACCCTCTTTTTTTAAGAGATAGGCTGCCACGGCTGAGTCAACTCCACCACTTAAACCAATGACAACTTTTTTCCCGGCTAGAGCAAAGGGGTAAAACATATTAACAAAATTAAGCACTAAATTATTTGAATATTTTTTTAAAAGATGCGATGCAAAAAATCTTTCACTAGCAAGATTTTAAACTTCTTTTTGTCCATGGTGTGGGATAAGGGATTTGAACCCTTACGCTTATAGCACAAGAACCTCATTCTTGCTCGTCTACCTATTCCGTCAATCCCACTTAAACCTTTTTAAAATAGTTTTTAATTATGCTGTGTACCAAATGCTACCAAAAAATACCAGAAGGAGAGGAGGTAGTTAAAAGCGGCAGCAATTATTTCAGAGCAAGTTGGCATTCTGGATATGGCACTGAAATTTACTGCAAAAAATGTGCTAAAAAGAAAGATAGGTTTGATAGAATGTTTTTGGCTATCTTTTTCTCAGTTTGGGGAATAATGATGTTAACAGGCCTACTTGTCTTAATCTTTTGTCGAAGTAATTAAATTTTAACCAAAAAACCGATCATTCGATCTTTTATCATATTACAATATGTGAAACTATTTACATATTTCCTTAAGTTAATTTACTTCACTTCACTAATAATTTTTTTAGTCTTTAATCCTTCTTGTAAAATAATACATTATGGCAACAAGAGAAAGAGGAGGAGGTTGGAATTACTGAAACTGGGATGATTCCGACAACTCTCAAAATAATAACACAAATTTAGGGAATAATACTCTTAGTAGGAGAGAAAGGAGTAGACAACAAGAACAAGAAATAGTTGAGGAAAGTTATGGATCGATGCATTGTCAAACACAAATTCAAAACCAACTACCTAAAAAGGTTCATGAATTATTTATTGAAACCATAGCATGGTTAGAAAAATATATTGAAATTACCTACAAAAACGATTTCCCAGATTGGGAAAGTCGAAAGCAAATTCATGATAATCCTATTAAAAGAAATGATATTTATGGACACCCCGAAAAAATTGAAGAAGTACTTTCAAGTCAATTACATTTTTTTGAAATAATTCTGAAAGATGATACTTCGTCTAAATTTCAAGAAGAATTAAAGCGAGAGTTTAACAAATGAATAAGGACAGTAGGAATTAATTTAAATAATTGTCCAGAAAAATTAAGGTATTTTCTGTTTGAAATTGGTGAAATATTAGAAGGAGGCAGACAAAAGTTAAGAAGGAATACAACAATTAATTCTGATTCTCCTGAATATGTTGAACAACTAAGTAGAGTTTTTGCTGCTATACAAGTTCCGTTAGACAGTGAAAGAAGTTCTAGCCAAGAAAACTTTCAACGGTCAACTAATTCCCACATAATTCAGGACATAAAAAACAATCCTCAAAATTGAAGATTAGATGAAATTGTTACTGAAATTGATAATTTAGGTCGGGCAAAAAGACAAGAATGATTACTCATTCATCGCAATGCTCGTGAAGATGATTTTCAAGGAGGAAAGTTAAACCTTAATGGAAATCCAATTTATCGAGATACTCTATTTAACAATGAAGAAATAGAAGAGATTAATAAAGCCTTGAATATTTCTAGGAATTGCTTAACTAGTGAGAAATCTGATAAAAAACAGACTCTTCATGATTGGTGAAAAGAAGGCAAAATTACCGATGAAGAAATAAACAAATTATGTGAGTTTGAATTAAACGACAAATATACTTTAAAACAGTTGAAAGAAGTACTGGAAGAAGATGCACATGTTAATGAATCCCCTATAATTTCTAATTTCACAACGGAATACACTGATTTTCTAAAAACAATCCGTGATAATCTTTCAAATTCTTTAAAAAGAATAAGACCGAAGTTAGCCCTAATTATAAAGGAAGAAGTAGAAGCAGCAGGTGGAGGAGGAAATGGGAATGGGAATGGCACTGAAATAATTCCATTTTCTACTTGATTCAATACAGATTGCGCTACTATTGTTAGTAAACTTAAGTGAATAAAATTATTTGATGTATGAGTTTCAATAAAGGAAAAGCCGGTTAGAAAAATGGGAGGACTTGTGGATATCATCTGAGTTTCAGCACATCGAAATAGAGATGAAGCAAGAGAAAGGGCAGAGACTATAAGAAAAGAAATGAATGGGGAAAATCCAACTTTATGTATCGCTCCTTCTTTACAAGTATTTTACAATAACAGTGACTATCTTTTCGTAAATATAATTAAAGTTGATTTACCTATGAATAAGGATGTAGTCAAAAATCCAAATAAATATTTACTACCTCTTGACATTATTGAACGTGGCGGTGGTGGTAGTTCAAGCAGTGGCAGTAGTGGCTCTTGTCGGCATGCCGCAATTTACTTAGGGTGAGATTCAATGAATAAAAAACATAAAGTTTGTCATATTTATGCTGATGGTCCATCCAGTTCTGGTTCTTCTTCGGTTAGTTCTTCTTCGAGTGGAACTACTCTAAGTGGTTCTGGCAGTGGAAGTGCAACATTGTCTTCTGCTTCTGCCTCAGAAAAGGAAAAAGCAAAGGTCAGAATCGATGACTGGGAAACTTTTTTAACTGACAGCCCAAAAGAATTAATTAGGTATCGCATAACTGTTCCATTCAAAAAATACGAAAAAGAAATTGAACAAATAGCCAAGGCAGTGGTGGCTGAATTTGGCAAGGGTAATTACCATTTAATAGACAGAAACTGTGAACACTTTGCTTTTGCTATTTCTTGTGGAGTTAATTTCTCTGAACAAGAACAATTAAACAGGGATAAATGATATAGAGAATATTTTTACTATCGCGGTGATAAAATAAAAAGAATGGACTTGGAAAGAGAAATGAACAAAAGTAATAAGTTGTTTAATAATCTATCCCCAGGAGAAATAAATTTAGAAGACATTGAAGAGTCAACTACTAGCAAAAGAGTTACGGATAAGTTTAAGGAAATAAATCGGTGGAGCGAAGATAGAGAACTATTTGTTAAAGAAGAATTGCAAGAAACACAAGAAGCAAAAGTTGAGGTGAGGGTAATAATTCCTCCTAAATATCATAATTGAAAGTAGACTATGAAAAAAAAAGATTTATTAAAAATATTTGGTACTGAACACCCTTCAATAAAGGAATATTTAAATTGAGTTACTAAAAATAATCCTAAAACTTTTCGGTTATGGGATCCACCTTTGAACTCCCAAGAGAAAACAATTCTTTCTGATGATGAACTTACTGAAAAACCTCAAGGAAGAAATTCTTTTGGATCAATTTCAGTCGATGAAGAAGAATGAAATTCTTATCCAAACAAGTATCTACTAATTGAAGGAGTAGCTTTAATATTAGATTCTGTTAGAGAAGCAAAAGAAGAAAATATCTCCGGTGAAAATCTCTTACTTTGTGTAAATAAATTAGAGAAACTTCTGAGAAATTCTATAAATGATTCTTGGAATTATTGTTATTTATTGCATGGTAAGGTCATAAAAGTTTTGAAAAAGCATGGAATATCTGTAAACGAAATCATTAATAGTTCAAAAAAAAGAATCTGAGAAAAAAGAGATGAATTGTTTAATAATCTATCAGAATGAACTATAGGAGGAGGTTCAATTGGAAAAATTGATAGTTCAATAATCATTAGCGAAGATTGAACTACAGACATTGCAAACGGAGATGAATATGATATCCTAAGAAATGCCATTATTCAAGATAAGATTGAAGATATGAATAAAAATCCAAAGAATTGAAAAATTTTTAAAGCAAGTGGAATTAACTCACCTTGGTCAGGGAGTGCAACTTATATAGAAAAAAAAGATGGAAAAGTAAAGATTTACAAAACGGATCTCAACCAACAGCAATGAGAAGAAATAGAAAAAGCATTAGAAAGTAATTTTTTTTTGTCTATTTTGCAATTGCTTTGGCAATAATCCTAATTTTACTTTTTTTCTTCTTTTGATGGTATAGAAAAAAAGTTAAAAAATTACTTAAATAACTAATATGCTCCAAGGTAAAAACATCCAAATTTTCTAAATTACTGAGAAAAAGTTCTACCCTGACTGTGTAGAACTTTTTCTACATAAACCACTTAATTATTCACACGTTGGTGAAATTAGAATTCTAGTGTCTAAACAAATTCCCTTTGATAGTTATTTATCAAGAAGGAGATTGCTTGGGAATAAATGTAGAACTGGCTCGCTGAAAAACTCCTACTGCCGAAAACTACATTTTTGAAGTGAGAAATATAATTTTAAAAGTAATTTACAAACCTCCCCAGTTTTATAATAAGACAGTTTATCAGAGCGAAGAGTTTGGAGACGGGTGAGTAGAGGAATAAAATTATAATAAACACTAGCAAGATTTTTAAGTAAGGTAATTAATCTTACTTTTTTCTCCTTTTAGTAGAAAGTGTCTCATATCATTTAAAAAGAGGGGTAAAAAATTATGGAAATTCCCGCACTGAAAGAGTCCCATCGGAATTTCTCGATAATAAACAACTTTTTTCAGTGCCATCAAAATAAATTCCATATTTACTCCCAGTTCAGGCCATGGCTGGTTTTAACTGGTGTTCTATGGCTGATTTCTTTTTTTCGGGATGGTAACCCTTTTTTATTTCGGCTACTATTCAAATCCGACCTTCTTTTTCTAATACCAAGTCTACTAAGATTCTTACTTTGCTATGTCCTTGATGACCGAAAGACCTTTCAAGGGGATATTCGAAACGAAAAAATGATTTAGGACACTTTTTCTTTTGAATCAAATATCTAATTAATCTAATCCTTTGATATTCCTCAGTATAATTACCTCCAATATCATACTTTTTAACTTGCAAGGCACCGCGAATAGGACAAATCAAAAAATTTTTACAATCCTCTTCCTCATTTTTTCTTTTTTCTCCTTTGAAAACTATATAAACAATAGAAAATAAAACTGCAAGCAATGCTGACGAACCAAGAATCATTTCTCAATTTTCCCACCAAAGGTCCTTTCAATCCATATATATCTTAAATAAAATTTTAAAGTTAAAAATAAGTAAAAATTACTATCAATTTTAGAAAAAAGGGAATAGGTGCAAAATTTATATTATATCATATATAATTGTGTTAATATAAATATACTTACGCCCAAACTTAATGCACCTAAATTTATTTTTGAACCAATAAACCCCGAGATTAAAAAGTTAAAGTTAAAAATAAAAAATCTTCAAAGGCAAATTAAAGAAAATAAAGGTCATAAAGAATACCGAAAGTCTAAATACGAAATTGCTAAAAGGGATTTAGAACGTTATCACTATAACAATGATATAAGACGAATTTCTAAATGAAACAGTAGCCCTCAAATGTGAAATTTCCTCTTTACAGCAACACAACAGTTTAGAAGCAGAGAACGATTTATTAAACATTCAGATGAAAAAAGTGCTAGACCAGTTAGTTCCTTGGAGATTATGATTTCCTAACCAAAGACCTCCACAAATTGCGAATAGTTTTCAGCAGTTAGATAATAAACTTAATCGAAAGTTCGATGGAGTTTTGAACTAAGCCAAAAAGTGGAAAAGTCCTATCAATCAGGACAACAAAGTCACCAGCAAACTCAAAATCAAGTCAATAATTTACAAAACCAGTTAAAACAAAAAGTTCAAATAATTAAGGAACAAGTTCAAAAAAGCCAAGAAAAATTCTTTAAAAATTATTAACTGCCACTTTGTATTTAAAATATAATTAATAGTTATGGATTTATTTTGTGAAATCATTAAAGAAAAGGAAAAACTCGTAGCAGAAAAAAAGATTTACTTAATAGCAGAAAATGAAGGGGTAATCGCCATTTTAGACAAATTCCCGGCAAGCGATGGTCATACTTTACTGATTACCAAAAAACATTTTTCTAATATCAGCGAGGTAGAAGAAGAAAGTTGAAAGCATTTACGGCCCCTAATGAAAGAAATTATCAATAAATTAAAATCGGTTTTTAAACCCCAAGGATTTAATTTTATCAGTAATATGAATGAGAACATGGAAAAACAAATAGCCTATCAGAGCATTCCCCACTTTCATCTCCACATTATTCCTAAGTATGAAAAAGATAAAGGGTTTGTTTGGAATGCTAAGCCACAATTAAAATACAATTTAGAGGAAGTAGTTAAGAAGTTAAAATAAATTATGAATTTAGCAGTTAATAACAACGAAAAAGAAAAAGAGAATAATACACCGCCGCACGAAGAAAAAAGTCATTGAGAAGAATACGGAATTTATTATCTAATTTTCGGTACTCTTTTTCTTTCTTTGCTGTTTATTTTTATGGTCAATCACAGCACTAATATGGAGATTAAAAAAGTGAATAAGCAATTGGAAAGGAGTGAAAAAAGTACTTCGGATGCAATAAGAACTTTAGAAGCAATTTTTGGTCCAATAAATAGGAAACCCAACAATAATGACAGAGAAGAAGGAGGAGGGGGGGGGGATAACCCTCGCAATAATGATCACGGCGGTCAGCCTAGTGAGTTTTATGAGCCTGACTCAACGAGAAAAAATGAAAAATGAGTTGACGAAGTAATTGTTCAAAAAGACGTTAATAAAAAAGTGAAAAAGTGAATTAATTGTTTCAAAGTTTTACCCCTTTATCTAATTCAAAAGCAAGAACTTGACAAACATGTTTTATTTTGCGGTCCACCGGGTTGCGGAAAAAGTTTTATCGCCGAAGAATTTTGCCATAATGAAACTTCTGGTTTTGTGTTTGCTAATTTTGAAACCCAAATTTGAGCCGGTTCCAGCATTGAAAAGCAGCAGAGAGTTTTCACTAAAGCCAAAGAATTATTAAAAAAAAACGCAGTTAAGGGAGAAAAAAAACCAATTGCTATTGTGATTGAAGAAATTGACTCCGTAGGAACTAAAGGCAGTATTGGTGCTCGATGAAAAGAAGCAACGGAAGTAAATGGAATCTTGAAAATGTTTGATGAAATAAATAGAGATGACTTAAATATTATCGTAATTGCTACTACTAATAATCCAGAAGTATTAAACGAGGCCTTGGTTCGACCAGGTCGATTAGGTCGTCGGATTACAGTTGATTATCCAACTGAAGAAGAAACCAGAAAACTGATAAATTACCTTCGAAAAATTATGGAAAGAAATTGAAGAAAGGTGGCAGGAGTAGGAGAGTCAGAAGATAGGATTATAGAATGAAGTGATGATTATTGAGAAAGTGTTTACCAATCTGCTCGGGAAATTGGGACCGAATTTAGAAAACAAAAAGAAGGGTTTTCTTTTCGGGATTTACAGAAAGCAGTAGGTAGTTGTTTAGAAACCGCTGTCGCAGAGGACAACCCTAAAATTATTCCTGATGTCCAAGATTTTGAAGAAAGTTTGCGAGAAACCCTACAAACACGGGTTGATGACCTGAAAAATAAGCCAAAATTTCAAACACTTTTTTACCCTCCCTTTAATCCGAGTTCTGAAGAGATAAAAATCCCAAAGAATAATGAATCTTAATTTTTATGGAGAAAAAGGACAAATATAGCAAATTACTCCAAGAGGGAGGATTATTTTTTTATGGAACTACCAGAGGAAGTTTTATTTTACCTCCGGCTGGTTATGCCTTGTGGAAAAATATCCAAAGCGTTTTGGATAAAAAATTTGCTGCCCGCGGGGTGAAAAATGTTCTTTTACCAACCCTTATTCCACTTGACTTATTAGAAAAAGAAAAAAAACATGTTGCTGGGTTTAGCCCTGAATGCTTTTACATTGAAAGAATCGGAGAAAAAAAAATTGAGAATCCTTTAATTTTAAGACCTACCAGCGAAGTTTTGTTTTATGAATGATACCGGCAAATCCTTCAAAGCCATCAGCAATTACCTTTATTGTATAATCAATGGTGCTCAGTTTTCAGGGCAGAAAAAAATACTAGTCCTTTTTTTCGAAATACTGAATTTTTGTGGCAAGAAGGTCATACTTTACATAGTAACGAAAAAGAAGCAAAGGAATTTGCTTTAAATATCCTTTCTGACTATCAGGATTACGCTGAAAAAACACTCTGTCTCGGAGTAATAGTTGGTAAAAAAACTGAAGGAGAAAGGTTTGCTGGAGCATTGGAAACTTACACAGTAGAATGTCTGCTACCAGATGGACAATGTTTACAATTTGCCACCAGCCACTACTTTGGCGATAATTTTTGCCGCTTAATGGGTATTGAATTCCAAGGCCCCAACCCTAAGGATCAACTCCGGGTTCCTTATTCGACCTCTTGAGGAACTTCGACTCGGGCTATTGGAGCTATCGCTAAAACCCATGCTGACCACTGAGGATTAATTTTACCTTTTGATATTGCTCCTGTGCAAATTGCTTTTGTAATTATTAAAGAAAGTCCGGAATTGTTTAATTATTATTCAGAAATAAGCAGTTTGTTGACTCCTTATTTTCGCTGCCAATTATATAATAAAAGTTCCCGTGATAATTTAAATATACTCCAAGCTGACAAAGAAGGCTGTCCATTCAAAATAATATTAGGAGATGAAGAACTAAAAAAAGAAGAAATTACCCTAGTCAGGAGAGATAATGTTGAAAGAAGGATCACAATTAACTTACAAGAAAGTGAAGCCGAAAAAAAACGTTTACTTGCTCTGGAAAAATACTTGGAAGGTCAAAGTAAAATTATTTCAGAAAAATGGACGGAAGAAAAATTAACCGAACACCAAAAAATGATGATAAACTCATACAAAAAGGGAGCCAGAAGCGGGAAAATTTTTGAAGTCATCACCAGGGAAAAAGAAGAATTTAAAAAAAACATTTATCAAAAAAGCGCTGATTTTCGCAATAAGCACACTTTTCTAATAGATAATTATCCGGAACTTGAAAAAAAGATTAAAGAAGGAATAATCGGTCTATTTTTAATCCCTTTTTGCAATAAATTAAACTGCGAAGAAGAGATAAAAATAAAAATTCCGGCTTATAGTATTAGGTGTATTAAAGAACTAGGTCTTTCAGAAAAGAAAAAAATGTTGGATCTAAAAAAGTGCTTATTTTGTAAACAACTAGCAGAAAATATGGTCTATTTAGGAAGGTCTTATTAAAAACCCACCACAACCTCCAAACACTTTAAAAAGTATTATATAAAATTATATTAAAGAGAAAAAGAATAATGTATGAATTACCATGGCCAACAAAATATTTATCAAATATTCCTGTGCCAGTAAGGCACAAAAAATATAGAGAGAGTAAGTGAATAACTTAAAAAAAGAAACTTCTCCCTTTCGCACTTTTAAAGCGACTTTCCCAGAAGTAAAATTGGGTAAAGTAATGTTCTAATTAGGTTTGTTAGGATTAATTTCTTAATACTCCTTTGGATTTCTTAACCAGTTCCACCATTAGAATATTAAAGCAAAAAGAATTGGTTCAGTTGTTAGAACTGTAAAATCTGACAAAATAAAAACTAAATAACATAAATAAAAATTCAAAAACAAAGTAAAAAATATAAAAATCTTATGGTAAATAACAATAATTTAAAACCAATAATAGAAAACAAAAAGTCTTTTGAATTAGTTTATGAGTTAAAAAATTATGAAGTAAAAAAATCTTCTTTATCTCTTTCTGCTAGAAGTAAAGTAATTGATAAAAGTGGCAGCAATTATGTAAGTGAAAATACAGAGGGTTATGGACCTTGCACTGATGGTCGCGGTGCAAATGATTGTTATTGTTCTCGCGAGGAACTACTAAGACAGAGAAATACATTTACTACTAATGTAAATATAAACAACATACAGCAAATTATTAACGTAAAATTTCCTTCTACTGGTTGCATCTTTAGACTAAGACTTACTATCGTAAATCAAGGCGGCTATTCAAGGTCGAAAGAATATAATAGTGTTGAAGAGGCTATTAATTCGGCTCCTAGAATTACCTCAGGACAAGACTTTCCCGATGAATATGTAGAGGACGCAGGTTTTTGGGCGACAGTAGGAACATTAGGAATGGTTTATGCTGTTCCAAATTGGAGTGCTTCTTACAAAATAAGAAGTGCGGCTGCTACTGCTCTTCAATCAGCTATTCAGAATTACCAAAACGGAAGTAACGTTAATGGTTGAATAAGAGTAGCAGGAAGGTTTGCTGACGACCCTAATATAAGTTGAAGTTATTAAAAGTAGTGAAGAAAGGCGATTTATTCTTTTTGCTATTTTTGCTAGTTTGGGGTTTTGTTTGAAGTTTTTTGATATTTAATGAGGAGCGAAAAAGCAAAAAAGTGTTTGAAGATATTATAGAGAAAAATAAAACTTTTATAGAAAATGAAATAAAAAAATTATCATTTATTGACAATAAAACGCCCGAACAAGTAAAACAATTACAAAATTTTATTAGAAGCAAGCAGGAAACGGAAGCAATAAAAAGACCTTTAAATACTTTGACTATTATTTTAATAATAGGAACTACATTTGTAGCAATTTTTATAATAGGGTTATGAATAACGTTAAAAAGGAATAGGATCATTTAATTAGTATTGCTATTTAAAAATGAACCTTCTTAAAAAAAGAATTAAGAATAGAACCAGTCTAAAGCCTCTTTTAGCAGGCAAGTTGATTACTATAATTAAGACTAACCTAATTAGGTCTTTTCTAAATTCGGTTTCAAAATTAATAATTGAAAAACTCTTTCGAATTATTAATTTTTAAGTGTTCTAACTTCTAAAATTCTGTGGGATATTAATACCTTATTTTAATTTAATTTTTTGCCAGGACAAGTTAAATTTGTTTAAAAAATTAGTATTAATTTAATGCTTGATTTCACTATTTCGAAAAGCGAAGAAGACCAAACTCTAATTAGTTTTCTCAAAAAAAGGTTTAAAACTACCTCTTTAAGTCTACTTTATAAATTATTTCGCACTAAAAAAATAAAGGTCAATGGTGAAAATATCCGTTATTATCACTATCGCTTAAAGACTGGAGAAAAAATTGAAATTTATGACAATTATCTAAAACAGTCCAATTTGGTTATTTATCCACCTTCCCAATCTAAAATATATTTTGAAATCATTTATGAGGACCAAAATATTTTAATTTCCCTAAAAGAGCATGGGGTAACTATGCCGAGTTTGGATAATGCTGTAAGATATTACCTATCAAAAAAAGACCCTATTGATTATCAACAGAAAATTCAGCAATTTTTCATTTTAACTGCTGTTCATCGGCTTGACAGATTAACTAAAGGATTGGTTATTTATCCTAAAAATCCCCAAGCCAAGAAAGTCTTACATAAAGCAATTAGTGACAAAAGCAAAGTTACTAAAAAATATTTAGCGGTTTGCGAGAATAATCCCCTCCCTCAAGTTTTACCTAATTATGTTAGCGGCTATTTGTGAAAGAAAAACTCTGAGCAAAAAATGATATTTTCTCCAAAAAGCGAAGGAAAAAATTCGAAACACTGTGCAATGGAAATAAAAGAAATTAGTTGAAAAAGTAACAAATTACTACTTGAGATTACTTTACATACGGGCAGAAAGCACCAAATTCGCAGCATTTTGTCTTATTTTGGTTTACCAATTCTCGGAGATAAAAAATATAATAGTAAAATAGTAGTAAAAGATAAGATTTATCTTTTTGCTTATAAGATAATATTTGGTGATTTACCTTCACCTCTTTCTTATTTGAACGGGAAAAAATTCGAAATGAAAGAACATGAAATAACGTTAACAAGTTATTTATAAAAATTCTAACTTTTCGTCTCTGGGGGGCACATGAGGTTAAAAAAAATCAAACAGAACATGAATTTTAAGTCAGAGGATTTTACTAATTTGTTTGCTAAATCAGTTAGTTCTGAAAAACTGCTTAATTTTTCTATTACCGATTTTGGCGAGAGAATTCAGAAAGCCAAAATCTCTTTTGGTCAGGTTCCGTTAGGTATTTATCAAAAGGGTCTCAAAAAGAAGCGAAAGTCCATTTTCCATAATGAGGAAAAAGGATTAGAACAATTATCTCAACAAAGTAGTTTTTATGCCTCTTTACGGAATTTTCAGCAAAAAACTTTTCTGAATTTCACTCAAGAGAATTTGGAGCAAGGTTTATTTTTTTCCACTTTTACCTTTAATAATTATCAAAAAAAAATGCCTTTTTCTTTTGCCCCCTGGCAAAAAAAGGGGAAATGTCTTGTCTCTGGATGTAGCGGCAAGCATTTTTATCGCCGGATTTCTCATTTGACATCTTCATTTTTAGCCGGAAAAAAAGTTGCTAAAAAAAGATTAGGCAGAAACTTGGAAGGAGTAAGTGACTTGCTGGACCGAGCTATTAATAACATTCAAAAACTTTGAAAACCAATCAATTTTAAATGAGTGGCAGTTCCTGAACTTCATAAGTGCCAAGCTCCATGCCATTGAAAGGAAAAAAAACATCGCAAGAGTTCGTGAGAAAACCATAATAAAACTCTGTGCACTTGTGCGACAAAGCATGACTGCCGCCGCAATTGGCACATTCATATGCTTTCTACCAATTTTTTGCCTTCTAAATATGACCATGAAATTTGTGGACTAGGTAAATATAATAAGCAAGGCAATCCATCTGGTTGCTGAGAACATCGTTTTTATATCGCCCATGAAATTTGACCTTATGGCTTAGTTGATATTAAAAAGTTATCCCATTTAAAGGTCAGTAATAGGCCGATTAAAACTGCTGAACAAGTAGTAAATTATTTAACCAAGTATTTAACTAAGGCCTTTCAAATGCGCCAAAACAAAGAACTTACTACTAGATTCGGCTTATTAAAAGGCATGCCTATTTACAAATTCTTTCGTATTATTTATAACTACTATAAAAATAAAAAGAATGGTATTAATTTAACTTATATTCAAGGAAAAATAAAGAAGCCTTTTGCTTCTTCCTATGTTTTTATTAATGATGATTATATTTTCAACAGAGTTGCAGAATCGGAATTTATCTCCTATTTTGATGCTGAACTCAACCTAAATGAACAGGTTTTAGTCAACCAAGCACCTCAATTTCACCATCAATCAAGAAAATACAAATTAACCAGTTTTTTAAAACTTTGCCTTTTTTATTCTACTAAAAACAAAATCAAAAAAAATCACTTCTGGAAGCCTTGCGATACTAGTGAAAATCCCATTTGAGAAAAAGGGAAAGGCTGAAAAATCCAATGTCCCATCCGCCAAGAACACCATACAGAGCCCTTGCTAAGATGAGAGTTTGAATTTAGTGGACAAGTTGCTTATTCTTCTTTTAAAACTTTTGTTACTCTCGCTTTGCAACTTCTTGACCTGCCTCGTTTTAAAAAGTTCAAAGAATATCAGATAAAAGAGAGTGATTATGAGAAATTTGCATGGCAGGCAAGGTTGCCTTGAAACAGAGAAATAAATGAATATGCCCTTTTAGAAGAAACAGGAGAAAACATAAACGATAAAAAATGGCGGAAAAGTATTCCGCCAGAATTGATTTATAATTATGTCTATTTAGCGGAAATTCGAACCCAAATCAAAAATTATTCTTCTAGTCGAGAAGTTAGTCCTGAAAAAGCCATTGCTCGCTATGCCGATTATTAAGATTGATGACAACAAATTGTTTACTTATTTTTTTAACTATACCACCAATAATAATCATATGCAACGAAATAAACAATTTTGGCATTGGCACATAATGTTTTAAAAGTATTAATTTTTTCACACTAACCGCAAAGAAGAATAAATATTAATCAGAAGAATAAACTAAGAAGAAAGACTCAAACTAAAAAAGAAATAATAAACGCAACCGAGAAAACTTTTAAGGAATAGGTAAATGATTTATTCATTTTATTATACGAAATAAGAAAACAAATAATTGAAGTAAACAAAGAGAAAAAGAGAGCAATTATCCAGGTTAAAGGAGAAGTAACAAAAAAATCTAGCATTACATTATTCGACAACTTTCCATAGGAACCTCAATTTTAGTTTGCCATTCTCTCTCCGAACTTTTAATTTTTCTAATGTTTTCTCATACTTGATAATCCTCTGAACTTGCTAAACCGTCAAACTTTTGACTACTGTTTTTTATCATACTTTTTAAATTTATTGAGGTTCAATATCTAACTCCGTGGTTTCCTCTTAATCTAAAAAAATCAATAAAGGAAGCCCCTCCTGGTCTTTCTATTGCTTGCTCCGAATAATCAATGCCAGTAATTTGTTCCCAAACATAGTGCTCACAGTTATCATTACACAAATTATACTCTCCTCTTTTGTAATGACTTGCCACTGCTTTTGCTATATGTCTAATTGTATCGTCTCGTTTTTTAAAAGGAATAGGTAAATGGTATCTATATAATTCTCCAACAGCACCATCCAAGAAATCACTTCAATTTTCAATTTTTACTCCTTGGCCGTCTGAAATGATATGACATATTTTACCTCTCCCTAAATAAACAGCAAAATGAAAATAAGTAGTTCCTTTTTTATTTTTTACTTTCACAATATCAAAAGGCTTTAAATATTCATCAGGGTTAGTAGGATAGTGTTTTTTTGTCCTTTCAACCTCGCGAGTTTCTATTCATATTCCTCCTTGATGATAAGTTCCCCACTTGTCCATCGCAAGAGGAACTTGATTTAATATTCTTACTTGACAAGTATATGTTTCTATTCTACAAGGAATTTCTCTTTCTAATACATAAGGTTCACCGAGTATAGTGCTTGGAGAAATAGTTCCATAAGAACCTATTATTGCCAATATAGGATTCTCTCCATTTAATTCAATTCTTAAACTGATAGCCTTGGATTTAGCACTATCTAAACTATTTTTATCATAACCTTCGCTCACTTCAAATGTTTCTAAAATTTCTGGCATACTTTTTGTTGCTGGTTCATAAACTATTAAAAACACTTGATAATAACTTTCGTAGTAATTAATTACAGTGGCTAGGTTATTATTTCATCAAGTTTCAAATCTAATAACTTCTTCAATAATTCCAGGAATCTTATTTCTAGTTTCACTTCTTTGCTTTATTAAGAATGCTAAATGTTTTTGTTCACGAAGGTAAAACTCTTTTTCATCATCAGTTAAGTAATCGGCAGAAATATTTAAGGCTTTTTTTATTTCAAATCTTTGGTGAGCATTAAAACTTTCTAAACGATAGATTAAATTTTCATTTAAATTAAGTCTTCCTTCCCAGTCGAAATCATCTTCACGAGCACTTCGATGAATAAGAACGAATTCTTTTTTAGCCCCACCAAAACTGTAAATTTCAGTAGTAATTTCATCTAGTCTTCAATTTCGAGGATTATTTTTTATGTCCTGAATTATTCGGGAATTAGTTAACGAAAAAGTACTAGAACCTTCTCTATCCAAAAAAGTCTGAATAGAAGCAAAAAAATCACCAAATTCTTGCGAATCGATTTTCAATTCTTAAATAAGTTCTTCTCTTCTTCCCCCTAACACTTCGTTCAGGTTAAATAAAAAGTTTTTTAATTTTTCTGGGCAATTATTAATGTCAATCCCTACTACCCTTATCCAGTGATAATATTCCATTCTTATCTCTTCCCGAAGATTTGGATTCTCTCTAAGTTTTTCATATAAATAAGGTAGACCATTAAAAAAATGTTCTTCAATCTCTCCTTTGCTACCAATAGAACTTACAACTAAGCATTTTTCTTGGATTTGTTTTCTTTGTTCCCAATCAGAATAATAACTGGCCAACTCGATAATACCTCTCTAACAATTTTATCGACATTAGAAAGCCACGGCAAATCATTTTTGGTTCTGACATAACTACCTGCATTCCTGAGAAGTGTTCACTTTTTCTTTTTTTGAGTTTTTTATACACAATGTAATTGTTTTATATCAAAACAATCATGCTTCATAAACTATTTATTGGTAGATTAGTATGCCTCTTAGAGGCAACTCATGCTTTTATTCATTTTCCTTAGGTGTAGGAACAATTTAATAAAGACTTAACTTTTCCTGAAATTTGAAAATTTACTAACATATTTTTTTTTGCTTTGAATTGTATTCGTTCATGATTTTTTCGAAACTAACCCCATTAATTAGTTCTAACAAACTAGTTATAAGAAGGGGTAAAATGACAGCGATTTGCTTTTCTTCTTTGTTGGTAAAATTTCCTAAAACTCACTCAGCAAGAGAACAATTTCTATCATAACCAACTCCGACCCGTAAACGTCCAAAATTTTTACTCCCTAACTTTTCAATAATGTTTTTTATTCCATTATGTCCGCCGTCTGATCCTTGCTGACGATAACGAAATTTTCCTAATACCAAGGCAATATCATCATAGATTACCAATAAATTATCCAAAGGAATACGAAAATATTTTAAAAATTCTATAATGCATTCCCCAGAATTATTCATATAGTTTTGAGGTTTCAAGAGAATATACTCTGTTCCTTGAAAATATAAACCATTAAATTTTTTTTTGTTTAATTCTACTTTTAATTGATTGGCTAACTGGTCAATAACTACAAAGCCCAAATTATGGCGAGTATTTTCGAATTCTTTTCCCGGATTGCCTAAGCCGATGATAAGTTTCATAGTTAAAATTTTATCTTTTTTCTTTACAATAACAACAGTTTAGAATAAAAATCAACGAAGCAATATCTATCCAAATCATTATTTTCTTACAAAAAGGACAAGAAGAAATTTTAAGACAAGCCTCTTTATGATTATCATTGTCATCTTTCTTTAATGTTTTCTTAATTTAAACTCATTTATCAGCAGAAAAATTGATCTTGCGCCATAATTTGTCTTCAAAAATAATTAAATGCTTACTTCTTACTCCCAAGAGTGTATATTTCTTCTAATTTCCCATCATTATTTATCAACGTTCCTTTTCACTCCTCATACGGCTCGTTGCCAAAATATCCATCAAAAGCAAGCGCTTTTTAAATTCTTTTGATTATTACTTACTCTCTCTTCCTTCAATAGTTTCATTAGTTCATTCTATAACTTGACTTAGGAGCAAACTCTATTTCTTCTTCTGGATAATTAAGAGGCTGAGACTTTAAATTACCATCAAAAAATTCTAACAAAAATATTTTTTTAAAACAAAATAATGTAAAAATTATACTAATACAATTACTTAATAATGTTTTACTATTTTTGAAAAAAAAATACTTTAAAAAAGTTTAATTCTCTAAGGGACAAAATCCTCAGTTTGAAAAAAAAAACTGAGTTGCTGACTGACCAGCAATTACAAAAAAAGTTTAACCATTACCGCCAAAAGGTTCAAAATCAAAAAAAAAAAGATCGACCTCGGGTACTAGATAAATACCTAATTCCAGTTTTTGCTCTAGTGCGCGAAGTTATTCAACGCAAAACTGGTCTTTTACTTTTCCCTACCCAGGTTTTTGGTGGAATTGTCCTCCATAACGCCAACATTGCCCAAATGAACACTGGTGAAGGAAAAACCCTAACTGCTTTTTTACCAATTTGCCTTAATGCCTTATCTGGAAGAAGTGTTTTTGTAATAACTGTTAACGAATATTTAGCCCAAAGAGACTGAAATTTAGCCAAACCAATACTAGATTTCTTCCAAATTAGTTCCGGAGTTAACTTAACCAACATTTCTTCGGAAGAAAAACAGAGATTATATAATGATTGTTCGGTTATCTATACCACTGGTAGCGAACTAGGTTTTGATTATTTACGAAATAATTTGGTAACCAGTGTTCAAGAGAAAAGATTACAAGATTACTATTATGCAATTATTGATGAAGTTGACTCCCTTTTACTAGATGAAGGTATGAACCCGCTAATTATCTCCCAAAGAGCTTACGGAGGCTCAGTTATTAATCCAGCCGAATACCAACTAGCAACTAAAATTGTTAATTCTTTAAAAGAGAAAAAAGATTACAAGGTTGACCAAAAAGAAAAAGAAGTCTGGTTTACCAAATTAGGAATAAAAAAATGCGAAGAATTTTACCAAACAGATAATCTTTTTTCCTTCAAAAATCATCGGCAGAACTTTTTACTCCATAATGCCTTAAAAACTAAACACCTATACCACAAAGATATTGACTACATTGTCGACCGAGAGAGAGAACGAATTGTTTTAATCGATGCTTTAACAGGAAGATTAGTTCCTAACCGAGTCTATAGTTCAGGTATTCATCAAGCAATAGAAAGCAAAGAAAATTTGCCAGTCAGCACTAAAAGCAAGACTATTGCCACAATTACTTACCAAAACTTTTTCCGGCTCTTTGACAAATTATCCGGAATGACTGGAACTGCCAAAAGTGAAGCCGAAGAATTTCGTCAAGTATATGGAATGGAAGTCATTGCTGTCCCTCCCTATCGCAAACTAATCCGAAAAGACCGTGATGACCTGGTTTTTTGAGATAAAGAAAGCAAATACAAAGCAATTATTAAACTAATCAAAAAAAATAACCAAACTACTAAAAGGCCTATTTTGATTGGTTCACCCAGCGTAGAAACTTCGGAATATTTATCTCTTTTACTAGTTAAAGCGAAGATATTTCATTACAAACTAAATGCGGTTAATCACCAGCAAGAGGCCGAAATAGTGTCCCAGGCTGGGAAATTAGGTTCTATCACTATTTCAACCAACATGGCTGGACGGGGAACTGACATTGTTTTGAGCAAAGAAAGCCGAGAAGCAGGAGGTTTATTAGTAATTGGAGTCGAAAGGAATACCAGTCGTCGAATTGATAACCAATTACGGGGAAGATCCGGTCGACAAGGAGACCCTGGCGAAAGCCAATTTTATGTTTCCCTAGAAGATGAATTAATAAAAAACTTTGAAATTAAAGAAAAGATAAGCAGTTTTTTCAGCCGCAAGCAATTAAAAGAACTTTTCAACCGCCCTTTGAGCAGCAAAATTCTTAACTATCTTGTTTCTGAACCCCAAGAAACTTTACGTAGTATCCAGTCTTCCAGTAGACAATATGTCCTCAATTATGACCTACTAATTACTCGCCAAAGACAGTCAGTCTACAGTTACCGCAATAAATTGTTAAATGCTCCGAACCTAACTAAAATAGTGAAAAAGAAAAGCAAAAAAACAGAAATCGTTCCGGTTGAACAAGAATACTTAAAAGCCCGACTAGTAAAAGAAATAGATAATTTTTGATCAGAATATTTAGAGTCTTTAAGTAAAATCCGAGAATTGGTTCGAGTAAAGGTTTATCTGCCCCAAGAACCCCAAGAAGCCTTTTTTTGAGAAACAATTGATTTGTTCCAAAAAGGTTTTTGACAACTAAGTAAGAGATTAGGGGAAATTGCCTATCAATAAAGAAAAACCCCCAAAACCCCACTGTTTTTTTTTTTTTTTTTTGTAAAATAGATATAAAAGGCATTTAAATTCTTTAAAAATTTATGAATAACAAAATAAAAAATCTAACTCTTCAATATCTTAGTGAACTAAGTGGATTAATTTTATCAGAAGAAGAGAAGCGGCAAATATCAAAAATCAACAGCGAAACTGAATGAATAATTTTTAATGCAGGTTCTTTGAAAGCTAAACGAAAGGGCGGGTATACTCGACCACCTGCCTTGATAGTTAATGAAAGAGGGCAAGTAGTCAGCGATTTTAATGTTAGTTATGGAACAGATATCAAAACTTATCTGAGAAATTATGGAGACTGAATGGGGGTTGCGACTGATAGATATCACTTAGGAAATGCTAAGAAATACGATGGACCGGCTTATGAAGAAGTAATAACTCACACCTATGAAGACCCGCCAGGAAGCGGAAATTATTCTCATACCCATACTTCATTAGGATGAAGAAGAGTAGTTTGAGGTTATCCTATTAGAGATGGAATCAGAAGTTCCAATCCGGTGCCGTTAAATTGTTATCAGGTGGAGAAGAATGATTTCAATCATGAGGCTTTCAGTGTGGAATCACCTCTTTTACAAGAAATTTGCAAAGAGGCTCTTAAAATTTACTATCCTATTTATCTCGCTACTGATTTTTCAAGCGATTATCCTGGTGAAAAGGTCCCTGTTCCTGACCTTGGTGCCATTGATGCTGAGACTTTCAATTTCATAGGAGGAGAAAGCAATAATTACAATTCAACAAGTGATTCCGAACACTCTCATATTGAACCTGCTGTTCCATTTAATTATCTTTCAGGAATAGGATACAATAATTATTGAGTGGCAGTCAATAAGTCTAAAATGCCAACTAATGGTTATTTTGGTGATGAGTCAACTATACTTTTGAATCGCTTACACTGAAAAAGATCTAATTTTTTAAATACTTTACTAAATGACCCACAAATCACTAACAGTAAAGAAAAAGTCCAAGAGAATGACTCTAATAATGGCGGGGGAGGGAAACCTGATCCTCAACCAAAAGAACCTGAAGAAACTACTATTATTGATTCAATCACTTTCGTTGTCGATAAAATAAGAACAAATCCATCTAAGAGTGTGGTAACTATAAAACCTGAATCAG